GTCTTTCCTGAGTTCTGGGTCAGTTTAGACACTAAACTTTCTGAGCACAAGCTTAGAAAGTTGAAGGAGGTACGTTTCTTCTTTGGGAGTGGCTTAGAGATTTATTGACAAAGGCATAAAACTGAGACTTCAAATGCAAGGATGGGGCACATGAGCCGCAGGGGAGGCATCTCCACTGTCCGAGAATGGAATAAGGAAAAAACTTCCAAAAAGTTGTGGACCAAAGCAAGCTGCCATTGTTGAAAGCTCTCACATGACAGGGATAGGGTCAGTGTTCTGGAACTTTTCTTACTTCTTGTTCCCTTCTTCATGGTACCTACACCCATGCACCCAGATCCTTGCAATCACATTTGCTAATTATTGGATTAATTAAGAGATGAATAAACACCATCAAAGAAAGAGAAGAAGGCATTGCAAAAAGGGAATAGCATGAAAAAGGGCACAGAAGATGGCCCTGGGGGGAAATACTGACATGTGGTATTGGGGGAACAGAAATTCAAGTGTATGGGGGCAAGAGTGACAGGAGGGACTGGGATGTGGAAGGGGTTTCCTGCTGTTCTAAAAGTCTGGGTGAAGGTGGGGCTCAACTGCAGTTTTCCTTCATAACCACAACAACACAAGTTTGCATGTCAAGAGTACTCTGGTAATACATATACTCAGAGTTCTAATAAAGTCTAAATTTAATCCACATCTGATTTTAGAACATTTTAACTTTATTCCAAATTCTCTCTAATCTCAGTTGTTATTTTCTGGTATTTTAGTTCCTGTTCATATTAAAAATAAAGATACTACCAATCGTATTCTAAGCATAATTGTAATTCAGTCAACACTCATTTCTTTATTGATTCACATACTTTTCTTCTGGGGTCATTCTATGTTCTTGCCAAAGGAGATACTGGTGCAATAATTTAAACAAAACAATAAATAAAAACCTTTTAAGTTCGTATGATTTCAACATGTCTTTATCCCATACTCACCCTTAGTGATTGGTTGGCTAGGTGTAGAATTCCAAAGTGCTTCTCTTCACGCTTTCAAGATAGCTCTCTCAAGCTGCCTGGATCCTCTTTTATTTCTCCATTATGGAGTCATTCTGATCTTTCATACCTTATACGTAATTGTTGCTGATTTGTGGTTTCTAGGGTTCTTGCTTTCTAAATTTCACAGATAGTGTGT